ACATGTTGAAAAGGTATGGAGACAGGATGCATCCCTGGCGTACACCCTTCCCAATTTTGAACCATGCAGTGTTGCCCTGCTCTGTTCTGACTACTGCCTCTTGATCCAAGTACAGGTTTCGCATTAGCAGAATTAAATGTTCTGGGATTCCCATTCTTCTCAGAGTCAGCCACAGTTGTTATGATCCACACAGTCACTGTACCAAAAGGAATCGGTTGACAGAGAATTTCATGAAACAACACATGATCAACAGCAATGGTGATGAAGGAGGAAGTTCAAACTTCTCTGAAGGAATTGGCAAAAAACAAGGCCCCAGAAATTGATGACATACCAACTGACATATTTCAGCAAACAGATGCAGTCCTGGACACGCTCACCAGGTTCTGGCAAGGCATCTGGAGAAAAGCTGCTGGGCTGAGTGATTGGAAGAGATCCACATATGTTCTCATTCCAAAAAAAAGGTGACCTGACAGTGTGAAAATTATAGAGCAATGTCACTACTTATCACATGTAAGCAAGATCCTGTTGAAGATTATCCAAAAACGACTGGAATAGTACATCAACAGAGAACGGCTAGAAATGCAAACTGGGTTTAGAAGAGGCTGCGGCACCAGGGACATTACAGGCAATATTAGATGGATCTTAGCTGAAAGCAGAGAATACCTCAATCTGTGTTTCATTAGCTATGCAAAGACATTTGGCTATGTGGATCACAACAAATTGTGGCTAATCTTGATACGAATAGGAATCCCAGAACACTAAATTGTGCTCATTTGAAACCTGACCTTAGACCAGAAAGCAGTTGTCAGAAAATAGCAAGAAAGAACTGCATGGTTCAAAATCAGGAAAAGTGGGCATCAGGGGTGCATTCTCTCTCCATACCTTTACAAGCAAATGAGGACACAGCATTCGGAGGCTGGACTTTAGGAGGGGAAATGTGGCATCAGAATTGGAGGAAGACTCATCAACAGCCTGGCCTATGCAGGTGACACAACCTTGCTTGATGAAACTGAGGAGGACATGAGGTATTTGCTTCAATATGAATTTATGCTCGACATCAAAAAAACAATGATTCTCACCAATGGACCAACTGGCAGCACCATGATAGATGGGGAAGATATTGAGATTGTTAACAATTTGAGCTCGCTCAGTTCTACAATCTTGTTCTTGGCACCAGCATTTAGGAAATAAAAAGACGAATTGCATGAGGAAAATCTGCTGTGAAGGCCATCTCCAGAGTGCTGAAAAGCAATGACATCAGTCTAGAGACTAAGTTGCACCTACTGATCCATGCCACGGTCTTCACAGTTACTTTCTATGCATCAGAAGTGGACAAAGACTAAGGATGATTGGAAAAGAATAGATGCTTTTTACTTTGGTGCTGGAGAAGAGCACTGAACATACCATGGACTACCAAGAGAACAAGCAGGTCTGTCCTGGAGAGGGTGAAATCAAGTTGCTCCGTGGAGTCAAGGATTTTGAAGCTCTGTCTCACATACTTTGGGCATGTTGCCAGGAGGGAGTAGTCCTTGGAGAAGGAAATCATGATTTGAAGGATACCATCCTTGGGAGGGACAGTGCAGAAGAGGAAGGCCTCAGATGAGATGGATTGACACAGTTACTTGGGCAATGGGAACAGATAGTGAGACTGGCTCAGGATAGGATACATTTCAGAGCTATTCTACATAGGGTCACTATGAGTCACAGGTGACTTGATAGCACATAACAACAATAACATATGTGTGTGTGTATGTATCTATACATATCTGCACTACAGTCCTGAGCACATGCGGTTCAAATCTACCAGCTGCTCCGCCAAAGGATGGGCAATCTCCTCTTGAGCAATTAACTGCCTCTGAAAACCCACTGGAGGGTGAGCTATGGGTTGGTTCTAACTCCACGGTATTCAACAACAACAACATCAACATACATATATGTATAAGTCTATACAGATACACTCTGGAGCTCTGGTGGCTTATTCCACAGGGCAGTGCACTGCTAACCAAAACTTCTTTCACAGTTTTGATCCACCAGTGGCTCCACAGGAGAAAGATGAGCAATCTCCTCTTATGCAATTTACAACCCTGGAGACTCAACAGATGCACAGGATTAGTTCCAACTCATTGGTAATGAATTTGAGTTTGATTTGTACCAGAGTAAACTATTAATTCAAAGCAATGATGAGAATGTGAGGGGGCAGGAAAACTAGATTAATGGAAATTGAATAACCAGAATAGAAATCATGAGAATGCTCATGCTTGGTGAACCATGTTCATACCAATGAACAATTTGCATAGACATTTGGATTGAAACCTAAACCACTATGTAA